TAACAACAACAACAACAACAATGTAATCACAAGGACACTTTTAAGTGAAAGAAGAAAGAGGAAGTTCAGAAGAGATGTGACCATGGAAGCAGAATCAGTGATATGATGTGAGCAAGACTTGGCCATCCATTGCTGGTTTTGAAGATGGAAGGGGCTACAAGCCAAGGAATGCAGGCAGCCTCTAAAAGCAAGTAAAAGTCAAGACATGGATTCTCCCCTAGAGCCTCCAGAAGGAACACAGCTCTGCTGACAACTTGATTTTAGCCCAGTGAGATCCATTCATAGTTCTAACCTCCAGATTATAAAATAATCAGTTTGTGTTGTTTTAAGCCTCCAGGTTTGTGGTAATTTGTTACACAACAATAGAAAACGAATACAAATTGTGAGCAATTTATTCCTTAAAAATGTTAAGAGTCACTGTTTTTCCTCATTTCTCAGCACGTGTAAGTATAATGACTACAATATGTTGTAACATTTATTGGTTTCCATCCATAAGTACTCCCCCTCTCATTTCTCTTTTTTGCCATCTTTCAAAATATCATAGTCGCAGGTATAGCTTTCCTGCTCTCTTCCTTCATCTGGACACCTTCTTGTTATTCTTGTTTTAAAGTGTCTTTTTTTTAAAAAAAAAAAAAAAAAAAAGAGTTATTGTCGGTGGCTGCAGCTAGAAATAAAAGCTTTACTGAGCTTTTTCTCTCTGTGCTTACCCAAATTCCAGGACACAAAGGAATCCCCAGAAGCAGGCATCAAAGTCAAGACTGGCCTACACACTGGGCTAGCCACCTTCTTTTAAGCACCTCAAAGCACTGGAAAGGAATGCGCCATGAATTAAAGCTGAAGTCCCTGAAGCTGGAGGTTAAAAACAGTGACAGTGGTTAGAGGTGTTCATACCTTGACTGTTCTCCATCAACTAAACGAGCTTAATATCCACTGAGATGATTATATGGGTTTTCTCCTTTCTGCTCTTAACATGGTGAACTACATAGATTGGTTTTCAAATCACATTCCTGGAATAAATCCCAATTGGTCATCGTGTATTATTGCTTTTATATTTTACTGTATATAATTTGCTAACATTTGGTTAAGGATTTTTGAGTTTATATTCCTAAGGGATACTAGTCTCATAATGTTTTTGTTTTTTGTGTCAGGGTGATGCTCATGAAATTGATTGGAAAATTTCCCCTTCTTTATTTGACAGAGTTTGACAAAATTGGTGTGTTTTCTTTCCTTATTATTTGATATTATTCACCAGTATAGCTAGATAAAGCTATTCAGAATTTTCTGTTTCTTTGTGAGTTACTCTGGTAATAAAATAAGTAAGTGAAAGAAGAAGAAATTTGTCAATTTCATATATGTTGTCAAATTTTGGCAACACATTGACATTCACCAATAATAATAATAATAATATTGAACTATACTGGTAATCTGTTTTTTTTTGTTTTGTTTTGTTTTTTGATCAAGCTACATAAAGGTTAGGAGCTCTGGTGGTATATTGTTGTTGTTGTTATTTGCCATCGAGTCGGCCCCGACTCATAGCGACCCCTCCTTGG